GATGAAGTCAGGAATTTCCGTTTCGAACAGAAATCCACTTAGGATTGAGCTGTAAGTATGAAAATACATCTCAAAATAGTTTAAATTTTCCTATCAGTATTTTTTCTGTGATCTCCCTTTGCGCATAGCTTTTAATTTTAATACAATATTCTCCATTTATGGTCAGTCAAGAAATGATCATTATGTACCTCAGAGGCTGTAAATTCAAGTCAACTTCTAAAATTTCAATTTCAAATTCTTAGTTCACTACTATATCGTTATTTAGACAGACGATACAATGAATTCAATAAACAAGTCATTGTGATCTTTGGTCTTTGATTTTGGTTTTTACCGTACAAACCTCTTTTATACATATAATAAGAATTCTCAGCATTTAGTTCACTATTCTCTTGTGTCTCTACTCGATTCTCCATAATATGTAATATAAAATCAGAGTGTCCCATCCAAGTACATATTTTCTTTACATCTTTATACTCATACTAACGCGATGTAAGCGATGAAAACTTGCCTAATAATCGTCTCAAATTACTGTCAAATCCTCTAAATATCCTAAGGAAAGGTTCGAGTTTTCTGTAACTCAATGGAGAAATTACGAAGTTATTTACACTTATATCCATCCTAGCCTAACTTAGTTAAAGATCTCATTTCCTTCAGAATTATTATAGACAGTCACGAAAACGGTGCTCCAGGATCCTTTAGCTCCATGCTAGGGGCTTAAACCCAAAACTGATGCGTGATGGTGTTTTGATAGTTCTACTAGGAAATTGACACGAAAATTAAGTTTATAACGAAATCAGTTATGAAATCGATATGAATCGCCTTCGAGCCCACGTAAAAGCGGCAGGATCGACAATAATTTTAAAAAATATGATGGTGATAACTATCTAAGAAATAGAATAAGGGAACAGATTGAATTCTTTCTGTATACCTCCTGAGTCTTGGGAACTCAGTAGAAGTCGCTGTAAAAAAAAGCGACGCGGTACATGTGGTCTCATTAGATTTCTTAGGGTTTTCAACAGTCTCCCTTTTGAAATCCTAAACGAGTAATTTCTTTGCTATAGAGTGTGTTGCCATCTAAAGATATTATTAGAGTCCTATCGTTAAAAAATATCTAGAAAAGTTCTGTCAGATGTGATTTTCCACAGGCTTCAGTTTCGCATTGGATAAAATGGGCTACTACTAACTCCTCAGGACACTCAGGAGTCTTCAAAAAGCGCTATTTAGAAAATATATTCCTTACTGAACTTTTTCTCGCCGTGGTACAAGTTAACTAATGTAAAAGTCTATCGAATAAAACAATAATGTAAATTTATTCAAAATGATAAATTAACTCTCGGGAATAACATTCTTTCTTATATTTATTTCTCCCCATAATTCAATACTTTAACTAATATAGACATCTATGAATCTCACTTTATTTATTATATAAATTCAGTATTACAATTTTACTATTTTATTGTACACCATAATATTGAGTACTTTGTACAATAATAACAATCAAACGATCAGTAGTATTAATTTGAATGTTAATTAAGAAAAAACAATTATATTATAAAACTTTACATCGAGTTGGTCGTGTATTAAGTTTAAATTGTAAGATTTATGATACTAAAAGTATTATTTGTTTTTCTTTTTTTGTATTCGTTCGTCCTTTGTATCGAACGTAACTTATTATTATGATATTATAGTAAGCTTGTTCTGCCAATAACTTGGCACCAACCTGCAAATTATCAAATAATTACTGAGTTCATAATTTTTAATCAACAGAATTCATAGCTTTGCAGTGATTTAAACTTTTTTTTATTTCTAGTGACTTATCTCAATTTTTTTTTTGTTAATAAATGTTTGTAGTTTAATATTTTTCATACACTATATTTACTTAAAACTTAGGTATCTAAGGAGGCTCCATTAATTTGTTTTACAATATTTAAACTTTTTAAACCGTAGTCTGTATAACCTAACAGATATTTCTCTTTTTACACAAAAAGTACTTTTTGTATCTGAACAGTTATCAATCAGGAAATTATGTAATTTGCAGTAGAAGTAACGTCACTAGTCCATTTCCGACTGAATTTGTTATATGAAACTCGTGCCGACAAAGTATGTAACGCACCTAAATTTGGTGTTGCTGGAAAGTCGGTCATCAAGGCGTTATCACCATGGTAACCACTCCTTAGCTAGCTAGCTAGCTATAGTTAGTATCGATCCTTCGTTGTCTCATGAATGCGGACAGCCTGACGCTACCTTCTAATCCACTAGGGATTTAGAAGACTTAACTGTGGAAGTTATATTGCTAGTTAATGTATACAAATGACTTAATACCATATTTGCTATTGAATTTGTTTTGTACCATTCGTTTAATCGTATTTACATTTTTTGATCCCGTTTGCTCAGTCACTTACTGTATAATATCAAAAGTCACCTTCATCTGGATTTTATAAAGTTCAAGACCTTCTGAAGAGCTTTTAAATAAAAGAAAGATATTTAATCAAACAAATTTGTTTCATATTATTTTGACTTCATATACTCAATTCCTAGTGCATATCTGCACATCTGCTCTTGTGTATACAGGAACTGCTCAATGCTTTAGCAAACGTAATTAAAAGAGGCATCAACACAAGATTAGAGCTTCTACGTTTGAAAATTAACCGTCCTAACACAACCCTCGGCGATAAACTATCGTACCTAACTCTCTCTACTTAAAATTATATATGATTGTTGCTGCTTTTTAAAAACAAAACAATCAAATATATTTAACATATCAAAATGCAGCTTTAAGTGCTCAATGTATAATAAAACAAATTTCAGTTTTTTATTCCGCGAAAGACATACCAATCATTAATAGTAGGATTTCTTTTGCAAGAGTTTATAACTTAGGTAAGACAAAAATAATGTATTTCGAAAAGCTTTGCTTCTTAGAAATATACTAATACATATATTACAACAACAAAAATTTATAAAACTCTAAACCACATGTTGAATACTAAAGTATTATATTTGGATATATATCAAAAGTGATGTTTAATTAAGTATTATATTGCCTTTAAAATGTTTGCAGAGCATAACTGTAACTCGACGGTACTTGTTCGAGTAGGAAAGCCTCAATAACTGTTTTTGCCTGTTTTGTTAATTTGTGAAATCCAAATACGGGTGACGCCAGGTCGTCTTGATATTGATATATTAATCATCCACAATTAAATTTAATTATGTTCGTGTTATTTCCATTTTAAATTATTGGAATCGCACCTTTCGTTTTGTGGTTCCGATTTGTAAAAAATATTTTAATTTAATTTGTCTACGTAATTGTAAAGTTATTGACACAGATACTTTACTATTAAGTTGTTTATGAGTTTTACATTCGAACACTCAGTACAATTTCAACAAAACAATAACCCTTCACATAACAAAGCACCAGTATTTGTTACATTTGATAGATTTTTTTTTGTTTAGTGGGTTTGTGAATAATAAAAATATAAAAAAAAAACAATATACTTAATAATGTTTCAAAAATATTTTTCATAAAGTCAAAATAAAAAACAAGTTTCCGATAAGCTTTCTAAATAGCCATGGAAGCTTCTTCAAATTCTAAAAAGTCTCTCGTAAGTCTATTAAAAAAAGGGAATCCTCTAAGATGATTCATCTTATTTATAAAACAATATTTTCAAAATACATAACTACTTAATGTACCTAAGTGTATTATAATTCACTGTCAGTTCCTCGCGAGTATAATATAGTTTGTTATGTTTATCTTTTTTGTCTATATATTACTCTTATATATGACACACATATAACATTTCCCACGAATAAAATAATTATACTTAAGTTTTATTTACTAATACCCAAGAGATATTTGTTAGATCTAAAGATTGAGCAGAATCTTAGGTAGGTACTGTGAAATCTTATTATTTAATTAGAAATATATTATTAAAACACAAGTTTTTAATTGAAAGTTATATTGAAAAATATACATACATAACCATTAACTATTTCACATTATAAAGCCTGTTACCAGATTCAAGTCGATACTTACATATTATTACTTACTTTAAAAATGTTCATATTCAAAGTCAATACTTCAAGTTATTTACTTGTTTTTCTACCCCAGATAATCTATCCGCAAGTCCTACAGTTATTTTTAGTAAGCCCTTTCATTTGATTTTCATATTGTAGGAGTGCTTCAAAAATAACTAGACCCGAGTCCACCATCTTCGGTATGCAGCCATCTTAGATAGGAATGACGTCGAAATAAACCATCCAAACTGAATTAGTTTACTATACTCAGAACTGTATTGTTAACAATTTTACTGTACTTAGATATTAAAAAATATATATTTTTGTTTCTTAATAATTGGAATCGAAACTGAAATTATCAAATTACTCAAATTTAGTTTTTGCGCCCTCTGTATTTTGCTTTGAGAAGTTTTAGATATCCCTTACAATCTTAGTTCTTGAAACTGTTTAAAAAGTACCATACTTTTATGGTAGATGTCACGTTGCTTGTCTTTGTATTGAATATTATGTTACTACTTACTAATTTCTTGCTTTCCTTCTATTTTATATTTCCACCATAAAAATTTTGTACTCGTATACCAAATTTTTTATGTATTATTTATAAAAACAGTCATCTTTATTGCTTTTTAAACATTGATGCAGTGTTATCTAAGTTTGACGTTGACATCTCCATGTATGTTTACTGCTTGCTCGTAGCTGTCAATATATTTAAATTAAAATTTAACTAAGAACGAGACAAACAAACAAAACTAAAAACATGAACCCGTTTGTTTATTCTTAATAACACTAAAGTAATTTTAACGACTACTAATGAAAGTTTGTCTGGAATAAGGGAAAGAAATAAAAAATATATAATATACTTTCACTTAAAAGACGTGAAATTATTTACATATGTAATACGATACTTTTATTAAATAGGTATATTTCCTACATCCTATATATATATTTATTTTACAAAAATAAACATGATGTACAAAACACATTATAAATTATGTTATAACGTCATCAGTAAATGCATGAAGTAAAGTTTTTTCAATCCAGTGTTGATTTCCATTTCCTTGTTTATCTTCCAAATTAGTCTTTAACAAACCAAATTTACTTTTTACCAGAGACCAAAAGGCATATAATAGTCTTAAAATGTGTGAGTCGGTGTATTTTAATTGAACTTCACAAGATGAAACTCTTAATAAAACATCTAATACTGTTGTATATAAAATTGATTGCCTCGTAGCTGGTTTGCATATTGACAGATGGTCAAGAGGCAATTCGTAGAATTCACCACGACCTAAGTCAGCTGAAAATGATTCTACAAAATGAACAGGAACTTTGAAAGCTGTTACTAAAGTTGGCTGTGTTTCTGCAAAACTAATGGTTTCCCAATGAAACAAATCTGCAAATTTTATAAACTCATTATGCATATTTAGTAGAACAGGTGAATTTTCTTGTAATTGTTTAACATCTTGTGAAGGCCATAGAATTGCTGCTGCAGCTCGAGGCATTGTTGCTAAGGCACTTCCCTTATGTGGAGTGCTGTAAAATAACACTGCTTTAGTCTTTTGACACAGATTTTCAAATCCTGGTTCATTCTTTTGTGCTGCATCTACCAATAATTTTTTTACTATAAGACCACCCATTGAGTGAGCCAGCCAAACAATACTTTTTTTACCAACTTCAGCATTAATTAAAACGGAGCCAAGTTCTTCAGCTCTAGATCCAATATCTGCATTTTTAAGAGGACACCCCTCTAGCCATTCAGAAAGTTTACTCCAGTAGTTGAAACCAAGAATTCTCAAACTATCACAATCTTGTGGTAGCCAATCTTTAGGCCAACAATGTGTATAATTACATTTATCTTCTTCTTCCTGTATTAAAGCCAGACGTTTTTTATTTGCAGTGTATTGATTGGTACTATTAGGTTCCCTTTTTGCAGATATAGGAATATCATGTAAGACTACTTCTAAATTTGTGAGTAAAGCTTCATCATCCAATTCCTTCAAATCCTCAAGAACTTGTTGAAGTTCAGGATCAAAATATGTTTTTGTGACATTGTTGTTCTTTTCACAAGGATCACATTCAACATCAGAGACAGTTACTTCAATAATACCAACAGGTTCTGCACATTTTTTATCTCGTTGTCTCCAAGTAACAAATACACCTCCTCTCAAACCATGAACGAGCAATATATCACAAGTATGATTACTTTTGGTACGATATAAGGGATGGAGCAAATATAAACCTGGCTTATAATGGTATTCACCAGATAAATTGGCTAAGCAAACAGCTGATGAACTTGCCAATCTAATATCACATGACTTAATTAGTCGAGCAAGCTCTCCTATAAGACCATTCTCAAAAAAATCTTTTAGAAGGCTAGGATACACACTAAGAACTGTCAGTACCTTAAGAACTGCAAAATCAATTTCAGAGTCATTTCTGTATCTCAACATCAGTTCTGCCAATTTTGCAAAAATACCTAATTCTTTCAAAGCAGCAACAGAAGAGTTTTCATCGAAAGTACTATCATTAAATAAAAACAGATGATGATGTAATGCATCAAGACATAAAATACAAAGTTGTTTCTCATTGATATTATCAGGTTTTGCTGGAACACTATCCACTTCAATCACCTGATCTTGAATATTTATAAAATATTTTGATAGAAAGTACTGAATACAACTATGTGGATTCAAGGCTTGAACATGACTTATCATGTCTCGCAATTTATATGATAGAAGTTCAGAAGTATTGGCTGCTTTTCTGATATGTATTGGAGGAGGTAAGAAGTATCGTAAGTCACATGCAAAAGTTCGCGCTAATAAAACAGCAGTATTTTTATCAAGGGCTTGTGCTATTTTTAAACAATCCCAAATTTTATTATTTTTAAAAGCAGCTAATTGGTCTAAAGCTATATTTCTTTGTTCCTTATTTCCATGGCGACAAAGCCATAACAGCCTCCAAGCCAATGAATGTTTTAAGCTTTTCCATATTCGAGAGAATCCCAATGCATTAAAACTTTTTTTATCTCTTTGTGTTTTCATTGCAGCCTCATATGAAGGGTCATCTATATAAATATATTCTGCAGTGAACTTTTTCTCAACATCTAATACGTTTGTGTTTACTATATTACCGATACGTTTATTTGTTTCTTTTATGTGATAATAAATAATAAATACACCCCCACTCACAATAGAGGCTCTTTTAAAAAAATTTAACATAATTTTTAATCGATCTTGAAACATAATATAAAGCTTAACTTGTAATTTAATTTCAAGTAGAAAATGACACTAGTATTATATTAAAATTAATTAAAATGAAAACATTGCTTAAATACGAGTGCAGCTGTCACAACTCATTGTCACAGTCAAACTGTTGGTATCATTGGAAAAAATATTTTTGATAAATATAAAATAGAGGTCTTAAAAATTGAAATCTTTCCATTAACCAAACTTTTTTGTGTTTACTCTGTAGTCTAAACTCTAAACCGTTTATTCAAAATTATAATTCTAGTTGACATTGACAATTTTTTATTAAATTTAAATGAAGTTCCAGCTTAATTTTAAAAATATTTTTATTATTCTCTATATTTTTTAAATTTTAATATTATAACGTTAATTTGTTTTTAACACATTATGTGCAAAAGTATTTTTTTTACGTAATGGTGTGTAACTTTCGTGTAAACGCCATCTCTTAAATAAAAGGTAAACTGTTATGTATATCGCTTTTACCAGAACTGCAAGTGAATACAGATGTCGTATGTGTCGACGTTTTAATGGTTTCGGTACATATTATATTTAAACGAAAAAAACATTACATCACTAAATTTATATATTTACTGCATATATATTTAGAACATCATATAAAACGTTTTTTAATAGAAAACAAACTATAAACATGAAATTGTCATAGTATGAAAACAGCCGATTGTTTTTTATTTGAGTATAGTAGTATCAATAAATTTATAATATTAACCAAGGACAGTAATTATGATTTCGACGGTCGGTGGATGCAATGAAACCAAAATTATTACTTAAATTTAATTATAAAGTAAGTTACAACTAGGTTTGCGACTATGTTGCACGAAGGTTGAACAAATAGTAACAATAAATCTAATAAAATTCTTACAAGAAATATTATAATCTAAAAACATAAAAGAAATATAAAACCAAAAACTGTCTTCACACGGAACTGCTAAGTCAGACCGGTGTAGAATAGGCGAGTTTACCCAGAACCTAAGGCGTCCTCTGATTACACCGTATAAAGATAATTATATTTTAATTAAACGACCACTTATTACACCGTCACATAACACAGTCCAAAATATTTTCAGAACCAGTTTGTTTTGAACGAGGAGTTTTTGCTATGATAGTAAGTTGTTAGAATTGTTTTTTAACAGAAAACAGAAAAATAGTTAGCGTTAACCGTCACCATCGAAACCATGAAGACTATTTGGCCATCAGTGTGGTCTTCCATCGATCTGATTTTTCTGTAATTTGACTGGCTGGAAAAGGGTTGTTGATGACTATACTTTTTAACTAATTTCTTATAGTAAATGAAACAGTCACGTAGTTCTTCGGATGAATTTCAAACGTCGACTTTTGACTCAGCTACTATACAGGGTGACTGATGAATTACTATCAATATTTAAGGAGAATACTCGGTACATGATTCTCATTCGAATTATGTAAAAAAAATAGGTACTTAATTTTTGACCAAATTTCCGTATAAATAAATAAAGTGTGGACTCGTTCCAAGGGTTCCAAGTGTGGACGCGTGCGGCGGCGTGCTGATACAACACCACGCCGCCGTACGCGTCTATGTGTGTGTGTATACCTAATCTGTAGGGTGTTCACACGATGCGTAATTAATTACATAACTTTTGGTTAACTTTACTTAGAAGTTTATTAATATTTATGTTATATTAATTTTTATTTTGTCATATATGATCGTCAAATATCATGTCCTCAAGTATCGATAGTAATTCACCAGTCACCCTGTATATATCCGGACTTGGTAGTTCTATGTTCTTATTGTACACATTTTTTCTGTCTTAGGCGTAATTCCGGAATGTTTACTTGAATGCCTAAAGTCTAATTAATTATTCTTCTCAAGACCTAAAGTAGGTGATAAAATATCGAATAATTAAAATTGGCTAACTGGCTAACTAGAATGGTTAGAAATTGGCTTTTATATTTATGAAGTATGCCAACCCATTTAAAACAAAATTCTCATTTGATTTTTTGAGAAATACAGAAAAGAAAATGATTCTGGTAGCGCCTTCTCTATAGTAGTGTTTTTTTTTCATTTTTCTGCTTATCAATATTTGATTACAAAAGATTTCATATATTGTTGTGACATATCGTCGGGGATAGTGCAATTTAATAGAGAAAGAAAACATTACAGAAAATAAGCATCAAATCAAATATTGAAAACAAAATATATAAATCCCCAAGTCAAATAGTGCAAAAATGAGATATTGATAGTTTAGTAGGACTATTTCATTTCATTCAATTTACAAAAATATATTGTGATATTAATTTTTTACTTTCTTATGTTTCTAATATCACCAACAACGTCATTGGTATAATAAGCAGCCTAGTGGTTAAAAAAAAATATTTTCTCAACATGCTTTCACAATAGTGGGGGTTTCATTTATGAATGATGCTAATTTTATCTGAAGGTAATTAATTATATTATCATTGTTTGTTCGCGCTTTTGTTATTGCAGTAAAAAATACTTTGTTATTAAAATTTATTTATTACTGTTAAGTCCGGTCAGCTATTTCTTAGTGTGTTTTTTATTTTGTTTTTACTATTATTTTAGTCTTAATTTTCATATTCTATATGGCTCTTTGTTTACACAAATTTAAAATATGATTATAAATATATGCTTACTTAGAATTGCATAAAAAAGAGACTGGTACGTGTAAGTAAGTATCTACCTATACGAAGAGATGAATATTATTAACCCCGTAAGGACTTAAAGTAGGAAAATATTTGATATTTAAAGAAAAAAATAATGTATTAATAAGTAGCACATTTATTCAACTGTACTGTAAACCTGATCTGATTTAGGTTATCTATCTTACCGGATTTCTTATTGTTTCTTTAGGGATACTGAAGTTTCTATATATATAGCGTTACTGTCTTTATTTACTTTCATTTCGCATAGCAGCCAGTGTAGCCTTCCTATTTTCTTGATTCTATGAATATTTCTTTTTCTTTATGATAGATACATCTATTAAATAAAATAAAGTTAGTAACACCTATTAGTTACAAGATCACATCATACTTTTTTTTGGGTATTAAAAATAGGTTAATGTAAATGTTAAACTTCCAAAAACTTAAGAAAAGTTCATAGTTTGTAAAAACATATTCTAACATTAATTCTATAGTAAGTATATACCTGAGTAACAAAGTATTTTAAGTACCTAATACAATTAATTACCATCTTCTTAAAAGTAGTTAGATAATATAGAACTGAGGAATAAAACTTCTGCAACAAGTACCGTCTAGACATGTTCAGCCAAATGGTTCACAAATTGTCTCAGACCTAGTGGATGCTTTTACAAAATAAGCTGAGGAGGGGAATTATCAAACGCGAAGTGGTAATATTCAACTCTCCTCACATAAAAATTTAAAGCAAAAATAATTAAAACAATAATATGTAGTAATTTCATATTGAAAGCAATAATAAGTTTGTATAATAAGGTTTTGTGAATTATTTGGAAAATAAATAATCTTACAATAATATTTTTGGTTGAAGTAATTTATTAAAAGAAACAACTTATATCTACAATACTATTTGGTACAATTTTACCTTATCTTAATTTAGTTAGTCTCATCATATTCTAGATGGTTAGTGAAATATTTAACCTATGTACACTTGTCCTTGTATTCCATGTAGTTGTAAAGTTTAAATGAAATGATAAATAGATAGGTTTATATGGTTTAACAAAAATTTAATTAAAATTAAACAATACTCGCAGTAATCACCTCTATAAAATATGTTTAAGGTCGAACTCCTTAGTAATAAGATGTTATATTTCTTTTAATATGAAAAACTTATGGAATAATAAAGTTATACAATAAAAGTTTATTTAAATTTCAAAATCCTATCGAGGAAATACAAATGATTAAATATAATGAAAATTGTCTTTCAAAGTAACACCTTGGTAGGTTATTCATATCGTTTTAAACTATTTTATGGGTTGTTGTAAAACTTAAAAAAGAACTTAATTAGAAAATTATTTGCTATTTTAAAAATTAGGTACGACAGTTTATTTATATTTATCTGTTTTCTTTTCTTTACGTTTCTTCTAGCGTTTATTAGGTCCGTACTTATGGAAATGGCGTTCTGTCGTACCGACCACTTTTATCTCAAACATCCCCTCTTCGGTTAGGAGCTACAATTTAAATTTTTTACAGCTTTTTACTAATTTGTTTTTTTAAAATCCAAAAGTATGTGTCAAAACCAAAAAAAAAGTTACTTTTGAGTGCCGGTGTGGTTCACTTCAGCTCTTTTAAATCTAGTCTGACAATTACGGCATGATGGAAAAGCTAGCCTCTAAGCATGCGGGGCTGGTAAATAGCCATAGGCCATTGTTGCCTCCGGACAACGCTAGACTTTTGATTCGAATTGACTGATGCTGTTACCCCTACTGGCTTTTAGAGCATCACCGAGAGGGACTAGACTACACACTATACAACAGACGGTTGATGTCACACTACAGACGCTCGGCCACACGCTACACAACAAATAAATAAGAAATGCTTCAATTAGAATGTGCATCTAGCGTACTCCGTGGACCTTGCTCAACAGATTACCATTTTTGAAAAACGGATGACTACTTGCAAGGGAAAAAAATCAATTTCATTGGGGCAGTCCATAGCACCTGCATTGATTTTCTTGCTCACCGTCCCAATGCTCTTTTGAGTAAAGGGATCAATTAACTGTCTATGAGAGGGTAAAAGTACATAAATAGCAATGGTGCATATGTAATATTTTGATTAAATAGATTTCTTATATTTTGAAAAAATCAACTTCAGAGAAAGGGAGGGATAGAAAGGGAGTAATCCCTTACAAGACGCCAATTTCATATGGGACCTAATATTTGACTTATTCTAAATATTATATATGTACTCTTTATTTCTTCGGTGTTCAGTGTTGTAATTTCTTGAGTTCCATTCATTGCAACTGTAAAAATATAAATTCATATCAATAAATGCATTCAACAGCGAAGTTGTGTGAAGAGAATACTGATTTCATTGTAAATATTCAGCTACTTAAGCTATATCGTGAAAAGGAAAAAGATACTATCTCTATTTCTATATTTATAACATAGAAAACATTCTTAATACATGTTATACTACTAACCATAAAAAATAATCACATTTTTACATAATGTGATTGTAATATGAATGTACTGGCGTCGATGTCGTTGGCGTCCCTGTGGAGGAGGTGATGGATGTTGTCGGCGGCAATGCCGGCAAAGGGGTGGGGGGCTTACGTTCGGGGGGGAGCGGCAATGACGAAGGCAGGTGGTGACTGAAGCCACCTAGAGTGCTTATAGAAGAGCCCCCGAGAGACCCGCCAGATAGCATCTGACCGTGCATACCACGCATTCCGGCAAACATTGACGCAGCACCTGAGGATAAAAAATATAGCTTTTACTACATGGTTAATTATGTGAAGTCCTATAACACTATTATTATTGTTTTATATATTTTATTTTGTCTTCTCGGCTTACACCGGTAGAATAAGTAACCTTAACAGACTGGCGTCAAGTACAGGTCACTGTTGGATTGATTTAAGTTTGTGGAAAGGTTTCATATAATCCTAAAAAAATCCTTACTAATCTACATGTGTTCAATATAGCGGCTTTTTGGTATTGTATATAAGAAATGGGTTGTAAATTATTGGGAATAACTCCGGTCGTTGATATGACTATGGGTACTACGTAAACTTTATTTTGCTTCCAGATTCTTAGAACTTCGTCTTTAAGGTTGGTGTATTTATGAATTTTCTGCGTTATTGTTTTTGCAAATTGTGAGTGTTAGGTTCAGCTATGTCAATTAAGAATGTACTTTTATTATATTTGTCTTGGAGCACTGTATCAGACCGATTGTAATGGATGGTCCTATCAGTGAAAATTACGCGATCGTAATATAGTTTATGTGTTTCGTTTTCTAACACTTTGCTAGGTGTGTATTTATGATACGGAGTGTACGTGTTTGAAATGAGCTTGTGTTTTAGAGCTAATTGTTGATGTATAATATTAAGAAATTTATGTATTATCATGTCTGAGTTTGTATCCGTCTCTACAATTACGCAGCATTTGGAAAATGGGATTAGTAGCGAGACAGAACCACATGGGACTGAAGGAGTCACCTTGATACATGCCTTTTTTAATCGTTATTTGTCGAATGGTGATGTTCTTTAAATACAACTTTGTTTTCCAGATGGGCATTATATTTTATTATTATTATTATTCGCCAAGCAGATATTGAAGCAATTTTTTTTCCTAACTGCCATAAATTAACTTTGAGAAACAGAAAGAAAGGTATTTAGGTATCTTAGTGCACATGTAAGTGTAGTATATACATATATACCAAAATACGAGTACACAAACATATACATAGAAATGTATAGAAGATATAGAAGCATAGAGAGGCCATGAAACAAGTTTCATTTTGAATGAGGAAATATATCAGGTACTAGTCTAGATACAGATGTTTAATCGTTAATGGTAGCATATCCTTGTGTCAGAATATTTCGGTTTACGAAATAGCTGTTAACGGGGGCTGGCGATCGACTGACAACGCGTTGAATTACGTTGTTCATAAAATATATACATTGAGAATTAATTTTGTTGATGCGGTGCTATAATTGCACGAAGTTCCCATATTTCAAGTCGCCTGCCGCACGTCTGTTGTCGCCCACGTGCGCCCCACGGCATCTAATCGCTTTAACTTAAACAAACCACCCAATTGGTTCGATTTGGAAATAAATTCTTACTGGGAGCTTAGACTATATTAGAATACACATGTTTCAAGCAATATGTTTTCTGAGCACTGAGAAATAATATCTACTAAATATATGAACTACTTTAATATTTAGTACGTTCAAAGTAACAAGTAATATAAAATTTTCTAAATGTTTAATCAGATGCATCGTGCATAATGGCTCTAAGAGTTATTCACATTACACGTTCATTCTCTAAAAGTTCGTCATCACTTTTGAGATCGTATATTTACTTGAGGGATGACTGGTTACATTGCCCTTAATAGTGGTGTTGAAAGACGATCGTTGAAACGGAGCTGTGGTGCTTATAATAAGATTAGTCACATTTTAAGTGGCGCTTTCAGGTATTTTTCATAAACAAATTATAACTGAAGTTTAGGAATTCGCATAAATCGCAGAGCTTAATATGTGTTTTTCAAAAAATTTACAATAGATAGAATTTTCAAATACGATAAAGGAATTTCGCCAGCGAGTTATGTGAATCCTGAATGCCGGTATCAATATGTTTATCGTTCGCAGGCGGATTGTTATCTATGTCGTTGAAGCAGTAAATGCAAGTTTTTATGTTTCTGAAGACCACCTAATGAATATTCTTATAAATTAAAACACCGTTTAAAAACTAAAATTATAAAGAATTTAATTGTAATGGAAAAATATTCTACATTCTAATATGTAATTTGGCATTAAGGATTCACGAGGACGCAATATTCAGACGTTCTTTTAAACGCCATTTGTATACATATACGACACTCGCGAATGCTAAATATATTTAAATTGGTACCTGATATGCTTTAGTTTATTTTATAATATTTTATTCAGGACCCTGATGCAGAAATATCGTGCCGTCGAAAAACTGAAATTGCGCCTTCGTTCCACCCTAAATAGAGAAACAATCATTAAAAGTTGTTTATAAAATCATTATTATATTTAAGTTATAGAAGCAAACATTATTAAAAAAGAATATTAAAGCAACTAATTATGATTCAGCATACAATAATATTATGGTAGGCTTTAAAAATTTTGTATAATTATATTCCCTTCTAAATTGTTATGGTCAACAAATTACGTAAATAGTTTGCCAAGTTACAAAGGCAATTTTATTAAGTTCCAAAACCTACTTTAATATACTTAAAAACACACGAAATTACAACCATGACAAAGGTAAAATTTAACTTCATAACAAAGTTTACGTCTGTTGTCAACATTAATCAGAAAATGCTCATAAACGGATCACTGAGAATAAACATTTTATCAAGGTTGGTCTTTCTTAAAAAATGTTTTTGTATTTTTTTTTTACAAAACTGGACGGCCGACTTTCAGGCAAGTCTCGAAATACCTATTACATTTATAAAGATCAAACGAGGAACAAACGTTCGGAGATGTAAACAAACGTCTGTAGTCGGAGGTACGGCCAGTCCGCCGCCCTTGCTCCCTCCGACAAATGCCATTATCGATGTGTAAACTGAAATACATCACCACTCCTGTCTACATTTATTACTTTTTTTGTTCCGAGAATCACTGTTTTGATAATGTATAAAGCGCTATATATGTATAATTTATAATACGAATGAGAAAAATTCATTGACTTACTGATAGAGTTTTCTAGCCGCACATGAATTTTAGATTCTGCGTTGGTTTTAATTTACAAATTATGCTGTTCAGCAATAAGGAGGATGTAAAAGTTTATAAAGAGTATTTTAACAAAAAGTGGGATATTTTAAAAAAAAGCTTTTATTAACAATATGTAAATTTCGTCAACAAAGATGCGATACTTTTCGACATTAAAGAACTTGACACTTTTAGATATTGGAATGGTCTTTAAAATACAACTAGTAAAACCTTCAATTATAATGTACAAAGGTGGTGTATGTCCATTATTGTTTTTGGGTTTACAGGAAATTGAAGTCCATAAAAAATAGTAAGAGTGGCAGCAGTTCTTCCGAACATTTTTGTATAATATTGAACATATACTCTTTTATAAACACTGGTTCACAATCATCTTTGCTTTTTAAGAAGTCCCAGGTTCTATTTCAATGCTTATAACTTGTAATCTATTTTCAAGTACTATAGTAAAATACAATACACTTTGTAAGCTTCCTTGCTTTGGATTGATAACATTCATTGATCATTGATGCTGGATCTGTTGCACAAATGCACATGTGACCACCGATTTTATGGCGTCGTAAGGATGAGCTTCTGAGAAACGTCTAACGCACATGGTAGGTAATAAACGGTCGATTATTCGTTTTGATCTTCATTTTTTACTACTTATATAACCCTGACCATTTACATATATAAGAAGTTAGAAACAATGGTTAATATTAATTGTAGTCACTGGATTTCAAAAATAATATAAACTGGGTGAACATTTTAAATGTTTATTTCTTAGTTCAAAGTAAAAGAAAGCTATTTGTAATTTTATTCCCTTCTATTTAATATATAAAATAATATCTGCAAATAACAAACTCATGTAATTTTCCGCTTTAGGATTGCTAAGAAATATATTTATTATATGTGTGCATATTTGTAATACAAGAAAGAAACGACTAAATTATAAGAATAACAAAATTACTAATTTTGAATTCTTGCTGACAAAATTATTGGTTTTTCTCTATTTCTTACTCATCCTACATTGTATCCATTTTAATGAAGGTTTCAATTATAAATGGTACCCTTTTCATAACAACATGGTTTCTTAAAAATATTTAGTACAGGAATAATAAAATTGACACCATCAATACTATTTTTATTACAACGTCAAGCTGCTTCTTTCGTTAAAGCTCGAAAAAGTACCACATTTTTTAATATAAAATATTTGAAAGCAACTTAAAAAACATATGAAAAAAAAACATAAACATTTTAATAGTTTGAGGAGGTTTTCTGGTAATTTGTAAACGATTTTTGTTCGACGGAGCTCACTTTGTCCTCCCAGGTACCATTCAAATGACCGATGAAGAAGAGGTATTTTGAAAGAAGGTTGTTTTATTACATACACAATGAATTTAAAAAACTTATTTGATGAAAAATAAATAATTTTCTCTCTATTAAATTAATAAAAAAAAAAGAGCTCAAAATATTTTTTAGTGCAAGATACCAGGACAACATGATGCGGCAAGCGTTAAAACGGATTTCAATACACTCTAGTACTGACTCATCCTCTTCAGCTGGTTTGTATGCACTTCGTAGTGGTGAGGAGGTGAGCAAGGGGACTAGGTTTGTAGACCGTTGCAGTAATGTATTTGTGTTTCTATGTGGTTGTTGTGAACTTTAGGCATATTAGAGAAGTAATAATTAATTCATTTGTCTAGTCTAATAGTAATAATTAATTCATTTGGCTGTCTTGTAATCAATTTGAGACAATTAATAGAGGACTCATGAAAGAGTATGTTATCACCTTGGTTTGTGATAACATACACAAAGCACTAAGAGGCTTCCTCTTTCATAAGTTCATTTGTGATTTCATTTTTCTTTAGATTTGGTATTTGGTATTCCGAAATAAAAAATTTTAGAGGTACGTTATAAATTTAACTTGTGATGCCTAAATAATAAAAAAAAATATATAATTTACTTGGATTTTACTTAAATTTAAGGGTTTTGTTAAAAATTGCTTAAGAATTGGCTTCAGAAATGATAAAATTAACATAAAGTAGTTATAAAATAAATAATATTAATTTTATTTGATATTCATATCTTTTTCTTGTTCACTGAAACAGACAATAGAAAAAAAGAAATAAAGTTTATATATGTATCATAAAACTACACAATTAAAAAATAATATTTTTAATACTACTTTTGATAAAGTGTCAACAAATTAATTGTTTACTAAATATATTTATATATATACCAATACAAAAATGGCAACTAATCAAGTCAACTGTGCACAGTGACAGGCTTTTTAAAAATAGACTTTATTTAAATCTTTGGCTATTTCACTGGAGAACCAATCACTTAGACTACCTTTTACAGACTGCACTTAATATTAAATCTTAATACTAATGCCACTCGGGAAGCTCTTCTTACAATATTCAATGCATTAATAAAGTAAACATATCTTAAAAATTCAGATGACTTTGCTTGTAATCAGTTATTTCAAAATCAATTTATAGGCGGAGTCTCACATCAATGCCAAATGCCAATATAACATAATATATCCAATATAGTTTCTATCCACATGCACATGTTCTGTCACCTTTTCAAACATATGAACCCCTGGTAGCTGCATCTAAGTACATAGTTATATCCCTTATGGTGGTTTTATAGTTTTTTTTTGGCTTCAAAGGTGTTTTTGAATTTTTTTAATCCTTTCCTTATTTAATAAATAAATAAAATAATAAAAATTATTATGTACATAATATTAATTATTTTAATAACATACATAGCATTCAGCTTCAAATGACTCATTGTTGTTGTAATCAGTTCTTGTTCGTCAATTTCCGAGGTGCACTTAGTTTTTTAATCATACTTAGGTTTCAGAGGGTATTCCGTATAAATATGTAGTAAGTACAGTTAGTTAGCTACTAATTTTGTTTTAAAAAAATAATAATTTAGTTGTTGAAACTGCTCGAATATAAATAAAAGTTTTTTAATAAGCGGCTGTAAGGAAAAAAACTTTATTACATACAGATTAAAAAAGCTTTGAAAACTTATTGCACAAGTATCAGGGCATCATAAACTACTAGGGAGTAAATTGTTGGTAAATCAATATCGCATAGCAACAGTTTCACTTTCACTGGAGGCGTGTGACGTCATAACCTATATACAACACAACGTGAAAGAGTTGCGATTTTATTCAAAGGTGATGCAGCCTACAGTGGAAAGGGAACAAAGAAGTAGAAATATTGCCGCTTCTTTTTTAGTTGACTAAAACCATGTTTGTGAAAAAACTATGTTATTATAGTAGACTGATCCTTTTATATTATTAAATTGTCTTTGGTGCTGACAGTAATAGTTAACTTAAGATTATTTCAAGAAAAAGGTCCTTTGTCGCAAATATACAGTGTAAACTCTATATAACGACACTGAAGGGACCGTGCATTTTAGTGCGTTATAGAGAGTTGCCGTTAAATAGAAAGAAGAAAAATCAGAATTAGAAAAAGACAAAGTTTATTTCAGACTAGTGTTAGTACTTATGTACGAACAAAAGAATGTTATACTTTTGAGATTTTGTGAGCAACTTTTTATGTTAACGTATAGGCAATACAAGACTCCTACTTATGGTCAAAAACCGTCGACACGTTTAAGCAATTTGTAATTGTAAACAAAAGAACGAATTTCTTAGAAAGTTCGGTATGCATGATAGGGACAGTCGAGTTTATTGCGGGCTAGGATAACAAAGCGACAAAGGAACGTACACAGCTGCACAGTTTTTACTAATTTTAGCAACTTAAAAGGTACTTTTATTACTTAATTGTTGTCGTTATTGAGAGTGGAGGTGCCGCTATGTAGAGTGTATGATTGTATGGTAGACAAGCTAAACCAACCAAAGTCTAATGATTTCGACGCTTTAGAGAGTTTGTCGTTAAAACGAGTGTCGTTATATAGAGTTTACACTGTACTTAGATTTTGCAATATCAGGATTAGATTTTGCAATATATATGCCTAAACAAAAATATATAATATGAGTATGTTCTCTCTAGTATTATTTATTAAACGAGTTCATTTGCTATTTTCTACACAAGAACAAAAGTTTCTTATTATTTTTGTTTTGCAAATATTTTTATAAAGTTATTAATAAAAAAATACATTAAGGTAAATTGAAAGAAGGCGTAATGTCTGGACTACCAGTGAAAGCTCTGACTTAATTTGATTTCTAGGTTACTTATGTACTATTCTCACAATATTTTAACAAAAAAAATATGTGTGCTTTTACCGTAGTTCGTATCGCAGGATTATTAAAAATAATTAAAAAAAAACAAATTTTTGTTTTACTAATTAATTAGATGTTAGAGTTCGAAAGTATATTTATTTTGGTGTCCAATAAAAAATTGTTTACATGCAGGCAACGAGTAGTTAAACTGCAAGTGAAAAAGAAAGCAAGTAAGGTAAAGGGGCTGGGCCAAAGCCGTTTAGTTCTGTTGTTGTTGATTGCACTCACATCTCTTTCAATTTATGGAGTCCTAGTAGGATTGCATCAAAATAGCTTCGCCTCACCAACCAACTAACCACTAAACCAACCCAAATTTTATGTGTTGTTTTTTTTAAATATTATATTATCTGTGGCCCGTTTTTATATGACAATATCTAAAAACAATATCTATCTATCTATAACCATAAATTTAATTATTTACCATTTATTTATTAATTAATTATATTAAAAAAACAGAAATATTTATCAAGTCTAAAAATAACTTTTTTTGCTTGTAATTAAATATATATAATTAATAAATAAAACGGAGTGCTACAAAATTTGTTTTCATAATTTTGTTAAAAGTTCCAAATACGTGTAAAA